CAACGCGGGCGACGACCCCTCGGTTCCCCTGCACGTGCTGTCGCGGCTCGCCATCAACTCGGACCTGTGCTGCAGCCGCCAGGACCTGGAGTTCACCCTGCAGTGTCTGGTGCCTGACTTCCTGCCGCCCATCGAGGCAGCCGACTTCGGTGCGCGACTGGGACGGCAGCTCGTGTGCCTCGAGCGGGTCACCTGCTCGGACCTAGGCATCAGCGGCACCGTGCGCGTGCGCAACGTGGCCTTCGAGAAGCAGGTGGCGGTGCGCTACACCTTTTCCGACTGGCGCAGCACCCACGAGGCTGTGGCCAGGTGGCGGGGCCCCGCGGGTTCTGAGGGCACTGAGGACGTCTTCGCCTTTGGCTTCCCAGTGCCACCCTTCCTGCTGGCGCGAGGCTCCCGCGTGCACTTCGCAGTGCGCTACCGCGTGGCCGGCGCTGAGTACTGGGACAACAATGATGGTCGCGACTACAGCCTCACCTGCCGCAACCACGAGCTGCACATGCCCCGAGGGGAGTGCGAGGAGAGCTGGATCCACTTCATCTGAGCCTCGGGCCAGGGACCTGGCGCTCCTGCTCCCAAGCCAACCTGCGGTCACTTCGTAGCTGGGCGCTCACAGAAGAGGCAGCTGCTCTTCCCTGCGCTCCGTCCCCACACCTAAGTCTGACCTCACGTCCTGCTGCAAGGACCCCTGGCAGTGGCCATCCTGCCATCTACTTGAAACGTCTGTGTCAGCTGTAAAATGTAGTCTCCGGTGGCGAGAGGCCTAGTGTGTACCATGCTGGGGACGTGCTGGGTGGGTAGGTGCAGGAGTGCTGGGCTCTCTGAAAGGGTTCTGACTGGGTTTCTGGGAAAGGCCTGCATCCTCCCCGCTAGGAAGGCCTGATTGCTTTTGCATGGGTCTCTATAAACATAGAGATTGGGTCTCTATAAACATAGGTGTTATTTATTATTGTGATGCTGGGACCTTTGATCCCTAGTGGTTGCCTTCCCGGGAGCATTCTGGATTTAATAAGCTAAAAGAGAAATCAGTTTGTGTATTTGTGCCCCAGTGTGACCCCCATCATGGTTCCTTGAAGCATTTTTTTCCTGCCCTGGGACAAGGAAAACCCGAGCTTGCCAATGTTTGTGGACTTCTCACCGTGCAAAACTATTAATAGGCAAGCAGTGTATGCCCCATCAGTCATCACAACCATTCCTGGGAATCCAGGCTGCCCTGGCGAAGCTGTGTCTCCTACATCACAGCTGAGAACGAGGAAAAGCTTAAAATGTTAGCAAAACAGCCTCAGTGTCTCTTCTCACATCTCGCACTTCTCTTGCACCTATTTGATAATCACATATCCACATGTTATCAGGCAATTAATTCTGTTTAGGCTTGAAACTACCTAAACAGGATAAGAAACTCTGCCTTAAGTTATTAAAAATTTCAGGCACAACGCCCTTTTCAATTACCTTTTTGATGATCAAGATGACTCTTTGTCTTCTTAAGTGTCAGACGATTCCAGCAGTCATCTTTCAGAAGTGAGGATGCCAAGTGGAATTAGAAAGTTTTTTCAACAATAGCCAGAACACTGGAGGAAAAATAATTCACAAGTATTTATACTTTTTAATTGTTTTAAATTGTATTTATATATGCCTAGGTTTTATTTTAAATTATATTTATATGTACCTGGTTTTATCAGCTACCTGCCAACTTAATTCTTTGTGCCTTCAGATCAGAGAGTTTCTAACATTGTTGAAACTTGTTTCCCAGTTTTAAAATGTTAAATGCTTTTCTTCTTTCTTTTCTTTTTTTATTTTATTTTTTTAAATATCTCCAACTAAGAAGTCAGAGGGGACAATGACTTAGTAAAACTCCCAGCAAGGGGCTGGTGATGTCTTTTGGTGCTGAGTGATGGTTTTCTGACAACAGGTGCTAGCTCTGAAGTGTGAAAACCCAGCCAGGGTAGACAAGGCCTCCAACTTGTGGAGTTTAATTATGACACAGTTGAAACCTCTGAGGTAAATTGTGACAGCTGTCACCAATGAATTAACTCTGAATTTTTTTAATGCTTGTTGACATTTGTTAAATCAGTATGTAAAGGGCGAGTTTTGCTTTTTAACCAGTTTGTTTTTTACAATGGCAACTTTTGTGTTTTTAAAATTCCAAGAAGAAAAAGGCTTTCTGATCTAGAGTGAGTACTTTCTGATTTAAGAACACTGAATTTTGATTTAAAATGTTGTGATTAAGTCGAACAAGCTTTGGCTACTAGCATTTTTCACTTCATTGACTTGCAAGAGAGAGAGAAGCCTGGTTGCATTTCCTGTTGTTTAACAAACTGTCCAATTAGGTCAGCACGCCTGTAAGGGCCCTGGCTGCTATGTCCTTGGTCCCAACCCAGATTGCAAGAAATTATCCAGAGTATTCATGTACGAAGGTTAGAGCTGCCAAATGTATAAAAGCATGTAGAGAATCTTATAATCCACGTAAAAGTTACTTGCCAAAAGGTTTAGTCATGGAGTATAAAGTAAATATATCTTCAGTATTAAAAGAACCTCAATGTGCCTTTAAAAAACTTAAATATACTTGCCTAGTTGATAAAGTTCAGCTTAACGAGAACTTTCAGACCCTAAAACACAGTTGCTTAAATGTTCACATTTTGTAGTGGGTTGTCTCCCCAAATATATTTTAATGTCTATCATTTGAAGCGATCTCACCCAGACGTAAAATTAAATTGTATGTGCACAAATTGTTAGCTGGAATGTGTTTTTCTTGTAGTCTCATTACAGAAACATGTGTTAGAAACTTCTTGTCTAAATAATTTCATGGTTAAGTCTTATTTTTACCTAAATAGTCAAACTTAGTGCCTTGCAAAAAAAATTTTTTTTTTAAATTGTATGCTAGTACCTCAGTTTCTGTAGCACAGTTGTGCATGTCTTTGAGAAACTGAAATACAATCTTTTGTGCCAAGTCACATATGAAGAAAGCTCTAGGGCAGTGGTTCTCAACCTTGGCTGCACATTAGAATCACCTGGGAATTTTTAAAATCCTGATTTCTGAGCCTCATCCTCTAGAAATTCTGTTTCTTTATTATGGGGTGGGGCCACAACATTAGTAACAAAGGAAGAGAATTTCTGGAGGATGAGGCCCAGAAATCAGGCTTTTAAAAAGATTCCCAGGTGACTTTAATGTGCAGCCAAGGTTGAGAACCACTGCTCTAGGGGGTTGCAGGGGATGAGACATTATTGTACTCTTGTGTGTCTGACTCCCCCTGGATTGTGCCTTGCACACAGGAGACTGAAACTAATATTCATTGCGTCCTCTCTTATTTTCTTGCCCACAGTGCTAGGTGCTGTATTTGATTTCACTTAATTCTGAAAATTACACTACCTGGTAGATAACATTCCCATTTTTTTAAGTTGAAGAGAGTGGAGCGCACCTGAAGTCCCACAGCTGGTAAATAGCAGTCAGTACCCAAACCTACCCCAGAACCCAATTTTGATGATGATTGATAGAAAAGAATTTTCATCTAACACTATAATCTAAAATCCTATTTAACAACAAATAAGATTAAAAAGAGTGATTGCCTTTTTTTCTTCCTTGTGGTGGTATACTGATGTTTACCAAACAATTCCTATGCTTTTTGTACAAATGAAACAATAAAAGAAATCTAACTCTTCTCCTCTGCTACAAAGTGGCAAATTGAGAAATCACTACTTATAATTTTTGAAGTGTCTGCTGTATCCATTTCTGCATGGCTTGTATATTTTACACAAGCACGATTGCTTTTATCTTTTAAACTGATACTTTAAATGGAAACATTGTAAAAAGCCTGGCATATACTGATGCTCCTGCTCAGTATCAGGCCCAGAGGGGAGAAGCCTAATTTCCCATAGGGGACTTGGGTTCTGCCTACTGAAGAGGCAGCCTCTCCTGCTTCCAGGAAACCCAGGCAGGAAACCCTGCAGCAGAACAGGACCTGGGCTTGGCAGCCTGGCGGGGCGGGGCGGGGCTGTCGGGAGGAGGGGGCGTGGCCGGCGGGGAGGGAGCAAGACTGACG